TTAGCTCCAAGCCCTCTCTATACCATCTGCATAAATTGATTACAACTTGTAAATGGATCAGTGATGGTACTGTACTGCTACATTATTATATTACAAGGCATGGAGGGCTCCTCTATGATTTTAACCAACGACATAATTGAATTCCATACAAACCAAGTGCAAATTCAAGCTGACATTATACCCTGTTTATAATGTTAGTGTGGTAAAATTATCTCTAATCAGTAACAAAGTAAATTAACAATTTTGTCATAAGTCATCGGGGAGGATTTTTTTCAGGACATAGCTATACTACTTGAAACCTAATAAGAATCTCCTATCCATTCATAGAGGGAACTTTTCTATAGCATATTTCTGGAGTTTAATGAAATCAATTAGAGCAAGTATCTACTATAGTATCTACTAGCATCTTCCTTTATGTAGCATTTTACATCCTCAATCATTTCCAATGCATCAAATTATGAAAATAAAAAACTAAGCTTGAGAATACAACCTAAAATATATTTTGACCAGTTTAAACACATTTCTGAGAGATATTAAACTGCTTCAAGTTAAGAACACCGTTAACTGCACACAGAACAACAACTTCAAAAGGTCAATGATTCAATGAGTTAAAGTACATGTATGTTGAACAACATTCAATTATGCCTGTTTCATAAAAATAAAGAACATAAAAACTTACCTTCATATCTGTAGAGCAATTACGAAATATCACATGTAAAAGTTGGTACTAAAGAATACTAAAACAAATCCTACGCTTAGCTGATATAATTATTATGTCTATATGATACACTTGTTGTTTAGTTTCATCAAATCATAACTGGAAAATAATCACAGGCTGTGCATAATAACACTGTATCAGCTGGTGAAAGAAGTGCCGAACTCAGCAGTCCTAAGTTTGGGTGAAGATTTACTCAGGGTAGCTAATAAACTCCTCTGTGCGAGATATTATAACACAATTGCAGAAATTGACCCTTGATACCAATGAACCTGTTGCCATGTGCTGTATTATAATCTCCATGTATGAAATGTTTGTATAAATACAGGGTGACCCAAAAAATCGAAACCCTTTAATTTTACGCGGTACTAACTTCGACAGCCATGTTGGACAATCCAACAAAAGAGCATACCTTGAAATATAAAACCTGATTTCTCAACATTTTTAGGTCCTAAATGCAATATCAGTTTGCTTGCTTGAATACTATAATGTATCTTTACAAGAAAATTCTACCATAGTTGAGTTATTCCAAAATTAAAGGATAACAGTTTTTAGGTCAACCTGTATAAAGATAAAAGAGCTGGATGATGAACAAAACATTAAATCAATAAAAAGGATGTTGATTTATACATCTAAAACTTGGTATTTAAAGGTCTAAATATAAGTTCATTAATTGTACAATAATAGTTAATTTTTTCTCCATTTAATGTTTTATCAAGTTATGGCATTACTCTAGTCTATGCTTTATCTTTGACGAACATGAACTATCTTGATAACCCCTTCACATCAATAAGTGCACTCAATATTCAGAGTGTCACTGAATTATGTCATTTCAAGTTGTACAAATTGTTTACTCATATTTGTTCAGTTTTCCTTTCAATATTGCTGCATTTGGAATGTTGCTATAGCGATAACAATTAAGTGGTTTTGCAGTCTATAAGTAAGGTCACCAGGTTGTTATTAAAAAGTGTAGAAAATACTAAACATTAACCTTGAATCAATGTTACAAAAGTAATTAATAAAAATAAAATTAACTAACCGAGCAATTCATTGCCATTATTTCAAAGCTTTGGATTATCAACCTAATCTTCACAAAACAATACTCAAGATTATAAAAAAATAGGTCATACTGCGACAAGTTTATGTAAGGTTCATCTGAAAGAAGTTATGAAATCCTCCTATTGGACTGAGGGAAGATATCATATATCTCCTCGAAGAATATTCTACATATCCAAACCAAGGGATAACCTTTTAGACATATTATTAATGTGCTTAACAAAATGAATCATTCGTTGTGCAATTACTTGGTCATAACAGTAGTTATATGACTGAGTTACACTCTCACATAGAATACAGTACTAACCCTGAACTTGAGATGACTTTAGTACAGTATGTATGTAATCTCAAGAAGGCAATTTCTGAAATTCATTTTTATCTTAAATTCTATGTTTTCCTGATACATCATTGGAAGATACTCATTGTACATGGAAAGTGATTGATGGGAAAGTGCCTATCATAAAGCTTGATAAGCTGAACAATTTGATGGATGGAACTGCATGTCTAGTATACACATAGAATAAGGTCACAATCAACCCAATCAATCTTTGAAGACATAAATAGAGTGTTTTAGTTGCTGTATAAGACGCAAAGAGGATGAAAGAGGAAACTTAAACTATGATTCTGAGGATATTGTACCTAATTGTCTTCCTTCCTCTTTGAATATAGAGTTTTTCTCTCAACGTGTCCTTTATTGGATTCTCTGTACCAATATTACAAACAAACTGTGTTCAAGTGTGTGCTACTAAGTCATATGAAGTACTACAAGTTATTCATGATTCAAGTAAAATACAACAAAATATAGTGTGGCACATATTTTGAGGGCAAAAGATATTTCTATATTTTACTAAAAGGCTCTAAAACGCATTGGGAAATGATATTAGGCATGTTTTAATTGTTATTTTTCAATAGAAAATGGATATGATGTCTATCTACAGTTTATACAAGTATGTCCAAAAATATTAGATGGAACCTTGAATGTTTTAGGATTCAAATTCGAATGATGAACTTAGTGACCTTAGTTATGACCTTGGTGATGGCATTAATGACCTTGGAGCTGAGCGTCTCATTGGATTCATAAACAATGAACATAAGTGGTCTTGTTTCTATATATATATTAAATAATACCATGGCAACCTGGTAAATTAACGGAAAGATGATGAAACACAGGCTGTATGAAGTTCAATAAATACCTGATCACACAGGCAGAGACCTAATCAGAAAATTATTAGAATTGATTGCGACTCAACAAGGCACGTATCACCCATAGGGGAACTAGCAATTGCAGCTGCATACCATTTGGTAGAACAATATATAAGCCACATCTAATATCCACGACACCATCATACTGTGTATTTCTTATAACAGAGGACAGAGCTTCTATTTCTTATTATCCTAAGTTCCTTACGAATGAAGTTCAGTTATGATATAGTAAAGCTTCGTCTGTCGGTGTGGCCATCCAAAATATAGCTTGGGTATTAGTGAACTAATTTTCTTTATATTTGATAGAAATATTTATATTGGTAAATAGTTTTACCTAAAAATACCTTTTATTCCATGAAAACAAGAATTTCTATTAAATTTGAGGAATTCTGAGATTTCACTGTTATATACTTTTTATGTTCAAATCGTAGGTTTTTGTCCTATGCCATGTAGAGTTTTAGGGAGATAAGTTGGTAAGATATATCCCGTATCCTGATTTTGAGGTTTCCATATCCAGAACCTCCATATCTCCCGCCTTATCTCCCGCTTCGGTGCATATCTTCCCGCTTCCGGTAAGTAGTGGAAATGCAATAAAATGACTTTGCATATGAATGATTTGTTTTTTTTACACCTTGTATTATTGAAATGGCCATATGCCCCTGAAAACTCTACTTGGTATAGGATAAAGCAGTTATGTACGGTCGGTATGGATATTGGGTTCGTCCCTTGTGAGATATGCATATACGGTCCCTCAGGTAGATATGCATATCTCCCTCTGGTTAAACCCCATATCCAAAACCTCCCAGTGCATAACCCTTATATATTATAACAGCAGATTGTCATTATTATTATATTGTGACACATACCAGATTCATGAATAATTTGTTTGTTGGGACTTGCTTCTCTGTGGAATTGCCATTTTTTAGTTACATAACATGACACAATCACAATCGTTCTCATCTTCAGCTATATCTGTTTATAAGAATTCAACCAAATAAATAAGTAGTAAAATACATTTATAGTTTAGGTAATAAACCAGAATCTCATGAAATGACCAACAAATGTTTTTGATAAAAATACTTTCACAGCTTGATCAACATATGGATGTTCAATGTCCTGGGAAAGCCTTTAAATTACTCAATTTTGCCTCAAGTTATACTGATATAATATATTCCTGGATTTTTGGCATTCACCAAAGCAAATCAGAACTAATCAGTAATTAATGCACCTGTTCCCATGTAATATATTTAGATTTAAAACATTTGCCATCACTCATTAGTTTCAGTTGTATCTAAAAATACAGCATGACGTGTGGTACATAACTAGGTTATAATGATGTTTTTTTCTTCATATAAGCAGGTATGTTGTAGATGGGTTCTGTGAGGTGTCAGCTGTGACATCAATTAACTTGAAATCCAAGGTCTAATTTCTGGAATACAGTTGAGCATAAAAAAAATCCCTGTCAATAATATAATATTTTTTGCAAATATTTTCTAGGGATATAATATTACTTTTTTAAATAAGTGAGGAATTTGCATAACATATAGACATGATATACTACCCAACATACAGTACTAGGTTTATAATGTATGTACATGATAATCAATACACACACCTATACTTTAGCCTTACTTAATGCATCAATGGTCGACAAGTTTCAGATCTATGAAACAAGATTTTCCCATTGGCTGATCATCTGCGAGCACATTCAAGGTTATAGGTTTTTTGATCTAGGGGTTCATATCAAAATCAGAACAGGCATCAGTTCCAAAGTCTTCTATCTTAAAGGTCATGGATTTATAGATGGGACAGTCTCAGAATATACTGAAAACTCATTACCTGAATGCAGGAGATAAAGCATCCTTGGTCCGAGGGTATTTCACTTCTTTCCATAAATTTAACAATAAATGAAGTCCTTTGAAGAAGGATGGAGATAAAGTAGATTACAGTGTAAATAAGCCAGTACTTACAGCAGCCAAGCAAGAATGTGCAGAGGAAGTTTACAACAATAGAGAGGAGATATTACCTTTAGTCCTGAAGCGTAGAACTCTCTGGAAAGAGAATAAAGAGAAAAAGTGTTAGAATATAAAACAAAAAATAACAAGAATATAAAATGCATAGAGGAATTTGCTTTTAGTGACATGTGCCTTCAAGTGACATTCAACAGAAGATTCTTAGTTAAAACAGAGCATGATAATCATAGTCAAGTCTCAAATCCATCCATTAGTTAGAAAATCCATATGAACTAATGTTCCCAAATTATGTTTTTTTAAGAGAACATAGATTGGGACAATTACTTCAATAAGTTCAAATCAAGCAATTAGACCGAAAGTTTACCAAGCAAGTCACTTAAAGGTGATAGAGAGGGTATCCATTGAAAGAAAACAACTTCTTAGAATATAAAGTGTTGTGTTCTAACAACTTTGTTCAAAACTAAAGAAATTGTGATTAACATACATACAGGTATAGTCCTATGGAATCAGAAATATTCTACACACTATTTTACAAACAACTAGTCAACATTTAAAATATTTTAACAAGAAACTCTACAATACATTTTACATGCAATAAGGAGTGTATTTATTCAGGAAGAAAACACAATTTAGAAGTACATGTGCAGCCTATGTATTGTACAAGGTACATGGAGTATAATACATGTACAATTGTACATGTAGTGTATATTTTACAGGTACGGTATGTAATAAGCTTGATCCGCTGAACATTAGAACCCTAAAATGAGCAAGGTTAGATCATGACTATTGAAACTGTATATTATACATGGAATAAAGACACAGAGTGGCAGAAGAAAGCAGTCAACTGGCAATAGATCTCTATTGCTTCCAAATCATTGCTATTTTTCCATTGTATACATAATTATCTGTGCTTGTGTTTGAGAATCACAGAAAATTGTGTGTGATTTTGCTTCTCCCAATTTGTGTAAAGACCCTGTGAAACACACATCCAAATTCAAACCAAAATCCACATAGGCATCAAATTCACACGTGTTTGGAAAAAAGTAATAATGAATGATCACAAAGTTTTAGGCTTTTATTAGTTTGTAATTCAATCTTTGTAGTTTTTGAATATTGATGAAAGGGTTTTTCGACATATAACTATATTATGAAGTAGATGAATGGAATGACACATCGCAAAAAGGTGGTGCACTTGTGTTTTTAGGGTATTGTATGAATGTTTCAACTATAATTCTTCGGAATATAAGATAATATTCTAATTAAAGGTATATTTCATTTTAAAGCTGCTTTAATGAAGTTTTCAAATCAAGTACACTCCTTTCACAATTCTTGCGCAAATATCCGATAAAGGAAGCCATTACGGACCATGTCCTTCAGAATAATTGCGTAATAGATTGGAACATTATTACAGTTTTGGACAATGACAATAAGAGATTAGAAAGATGGATTAAAGAATCTATTTATATTATAAAGAAGAATAATTACAACATGAACAGAGTTTACAGAGATCAAGGGAACTATAAATTGGCAGGAATTTGGAATGATTTTTTGGTGAATTAATATGACGTAATATTGTTTTTATTTAATTGTATTTGTAGCGCATCAGTTCAGTATTTATATCAATTGAAAAAAGGATCCAGGTGCAATCTAAAACATCTTGAGAAATTTTGAATAAAAGTTGCGAAAAGAAAATATTTTTGTGATTGAATGGAATTCTTGCTGAAAACTTCACCCAACTAGAAAAACAGCAACTCCACGGAGTAGCAAATCCCACCGAACAAAACATATTATGCTTATTATAGCTAGTGTAAATGTTGAAATGTTTGTGCACTTGTGAGAGAGAAGCATGAAATTTGGCACAAAGTTAGTTTATACCATTGTGAACTCGGCATCATCATATAAAATTTCAATCAAATCTGTTCACTGGTATTTGAGTTATCAAAGATTACGTTTTTTACGAAAAATTGCCGCCATTTTGAAATTAAGCGGCCATCTTGAAAATGTTTTGTCGAACATAGCTACTGTGTCCCTAATAATCATCATATAAAATTTGAACCAAATCCGTTCACTGGTATTTGAGTTATCAAAGATTACATATTTTTACGGAAAATGGCCGCCACTTTGAAATTAAGCGGCCATCTTGAAAATCTCTTTTTGTGCGAAACTCCTTTGTCCCTAGGCATCAGCATATAAAATTTGAACCAAATCCGTTCACTGGTATATGAGTTATCAAAGATTACGTTTTTTAAGGAATTTGGGCTGCCATCTTGAAATTCAGCCGCCATCTTGAAAATTATTTCTTGAACAGAGCTACTGTGTCCCTAGGCATAATCATATAAAATTTCAACCAAATCTGTTCACTGGTATTTGAGTTATCAAAGATTACGTTTTTTACGAAAAATTGCCGCTATTTTGAAATTAAGCGGCCTTCTTGAAAATGTTTTGTCGAACATAGCTACTGTGTCCCTAAGCATCATCATATAAAATTTGAACCAAATCCGTTCACTGGTATTTGAGTTATCAAAGATTACATATTTTTACGAAAAATGGCCCCCACTTTGAAATTAAGCGGCCATCTTGAAAATCTCTTTTTGTGCGAAACTCCTTTGTCACTAGGCATCAGCATATAAAATTTGAACCAAATCCGTTCACTGGTATATGAGTTATCAAAGATTACGTTTTTTAAGGAATTTGGGCCGCCATCTTGAAATTCAGCCGCCATCTTGAAAATTATTTCTTGAACAGAGCTACTGTGTCCCTAGGCATAATCATATAAAATTTCAACCAAATCTGTTCACTGGTATTTGAGTTATCAAAGATTACGTTTTTTACGAAAAATTGCCGCCATTTTGAAATTAAGCGGCCATCTTGAAAATGTTTTGTCGAACATAGCTACTGTGTCCCTAAGCATCATCATATAAAATTTGAACCAAATCCGTTCACTGGTATTTGAGTTATCAAAGATTACATATTTTTACGAAAAATGGCCGCGATTTTGAAATTAAGCGGCCATCTTGAAAATCTCTTTTTGTGCGAAACTCCTTTGTCCCTAGGCATCAGCATATAAAATTTGAACCAAATCCGCAAACTAGTATTTGAGTGATTAAATATTACATTTTTTACGAAAAATGGCGGCCATTTTGAATTCAGTGGCCATATTGAAAATTCCTTCTTGAGCAGAGGTCCTACACCCATAAGGCATAAGCCTATAAAATTTGAATCAAATCCGTGATTCGGTATTTGATTTATCGCCCGGACAAACAGACGGACGGACGGAAGAACGGACGGACGGACAGACGGACGGACGGCTTTCCTATATCCCTCTCGAACTTCGTTCGGTGGGATAATTAAGGTTTAAAGCAGAACTAATGTTTGGCTCTCTGTTAATCTCAATATGTAGCTTTATGTGTAATTGAGGAAAAAAAAAGTACATTAGGTTAAGTGATTATATTGAAAAGAATAATATCGATTGACCCACATAGTTGATGGAGGTTTCGCATCAAGGTCACCGGAAGTGTGATGTCATATCAACGTTGTTCACCATATTGTAACCCAATAAAGATGATTAAATATGCCCCATAACATATTTTGACAAACAAATAATTGACCAACTCGATAAATACTTTAACATATTCATTCATTTCAGACAAAATTCCAATAGGTTTGATTGTGTAATACCACTTTAATAAGCTGATAAATACAAAATAATGTCAGAGTTTGACTCCCGATCTTGAAGAGACTTAACATCAGTGATCAGAGATTATTTTGATGTTAACAGCAATATTTGATTTCAAAATTAAAACAAGAACACAAATGTGTACAAAATGTCCCCACCAATGGGTGATCCCATCAAATGGTTATCCTGAAAATGAGTAGACAAGACTTTACCAACACAATTTTAATTGATCCGTCACACAGTTAACTAGAAAACATGTAAACAAGATTTTAGGATGGAAAATCCAAAATGGCTGCCTTGACATTTACCCAGAATGTCAAAAAACTAATCTGTTCCTAGATTTTCATACTAAGAATCATCCCTGAAAATATGACATTGATCTACCAAATGGTTCACCTGAAAACGCGTAGACAAGACTTTACAGACAAGATTTTAGGACAGAAAATCCAAAATGGCTGCCTTGACATTTACACAGAATGCCAAAAACACTAATCAGATGTAGATTTTCACACTAAGAATCATCCCTGAAAATTTGAAATTGATCTACCAAACGGTTCACCTAAAAACGTGTAGACAAGACTTTACAGGCAAGATTTTAAGACGGAAAATCCAAAATGGCTGCCTTGACATTTATCCAGAATGCCAAAAAACTAATCAGATCTAGATTTTCATACTAAGAATCATCCCTAAAAATTTGAAATTGATCTACAGAACGGTTCACCTGGAAATGCATAGACAAGACTTTACAGACAAGATTTTAGGACAGAAAATCCAAAATGGCTGCCTTGACATTTGCCCAGAATGCCAAAAACTAATCAGTTCTACATTTTCATACTAAGAATCATCTCTGAAAATTTTAAATTGATCTACCAAACGGTTCACCTGAAAACGCGTAGACAAGACTTTACAGACAAGATTTTAGGACGGAAAATCCAAAATGGCTGCCTTGACATTTACCCAGAATGCCAAAAAACAAATCAGATCTAGATTTTTATACTAAGAATCATCCCTGAAAATTTGAAATTGATCCACCAAACGGTTCACCTGAAAACATGTAGACAAGACTTCACAGACAAGATTTTAGGACGGAAAAATCCAAAATGGCCGACAATAAAAAAGTGATTATGTGTTTTTGCTGATTTCTTCTTACAAAATTATCACATATTACTACTGTTAACAATAACATAGGCTTTTACAACAAAGTAGATCTGAAATTATTTATAAAGCTACTAAATAGTTAAAGTATGAAAACTCAAAAACACCATTCAATATGATACAAAGTATTATCGTGCGCTAACTTTTCTTAAGACATTCAAAATGGCTGACATGACTGAGCTAACAGGTCCAAAACCTAATCAGATCTAGAATGAAGTGAGCTGAACAAGATGTTAAAGTTTTAAAAGCAACTGTGAAGCCGTTTTTCTTAAAGTTTGCAGACAAAGGATTTTAGGATTTGACTTCAAAATGGCCGACAGGAAGTAGGTATCGAGTTAAAATTTTTTCATCCACATCTGTATGCACTCATAAGTTATCCCTGAAAATTTGAAGGTGATATCTGTAGCAGTTTTGGAGAAAACTCCCGGACGTACGGACGGACAGACGGACGGACGGACGGACAGACGGACGCGCCTAGGCCGACAATATGGCCCCACACTATGTGGTGGGGACATAAAAAGTAATAACGTCTTTAATTCTGCTCAATTATGTTGGTCTAAGTTTTCGTGAAATTTTCAATCAGTTTTTCTTTTTCAAAGTTGAACTGAGAAAGTATTACCTGTTAAAATGAATATACTGACGACCATCCTACATTGATTTGATGTGAAATAGAGATCATTGACATGATTTTTGTGCTGTTATGTTTAGATCTTTTAATTTTATTTTACCAGTTTTCTTTTTTCTCAAACTAGATTCCCTATGTCTGTCGATGTGACATCACTCATTAATTATGCATGCATGCCCAGTACAATAAAGAAGACAATATGGCGACTTACACAATTCTGAGCCAGAGTGGATATCTCAAAATTGAAATAAATATGTTTGTTTATGCATCTATCGAGAACATATGTAACCCAACCAATCTTTTTTTAATAATATACTTGATATTTTAATGAATTATACTTATTTTGTGAGCTTATTACCCCTTTAGGTTTGGCAGAAAGGGTTTTATTTTTGGTTTGGGATAAGCAAACTAAAAGATATGAAATGTGTGCAAAATTGTGCATGAAGAAACTGTCTTAGAAGACTATCTGGTGAGATATGTCCCAAATCCATCCATTTTTTGGACTAGCAGTTTAAATATGATTCTTCAAAACTGTAGGTAGTAGTAAAGACATCATAAAAAGAAGTCTATCTTATATAACCATGCAATGATGCAAGAATAGATGTCAATAAAACTTATATCAAAGTACATGTATTTACTAGAAATCTTTACCTGTTGGTTCTTACTTTAACAATAATACGGTATTTTTGCGATACATTTTCTCAACGTTGTGGAAAATGATAACTTTAGTCAAGTCTCTGATAAGGACCTACTTTAGTCAGATGGCACAGCCTAACTAAGGCATAATAAGAGAATGCGTTCTTTAAAATCTTAATAATATAATATTATCTCCAAAAAATCTATGATATATCATCAAATAGAGATGTTATTTTGAATTCAAAATGTCAAAAATATAAATTATTTGTAAATAAAAAAAATAACAAGATCTATAATGAGTTATTACCCTGGCAACTAGACAGACTTGCAGAGACATCATCTATATCCCTATCAACTTTCCACTGGGATAACTACCTTACCTAATCCAATCAGAATGAACAATGTTCTTATTTTCTATATTGCAATTATAATAGGGTATTAGTGATTCAATAGGCATGTAAATGGCAATAATTTACCGTTAACTACTGATGAGCTGGGATGTTTTCCATTTTACATCTTTTTTTATACACAGATCAGCTCTAAACTAAGTCAGCCCCATAATAAATATTCAGTTATGTTAAAAATATCCTTCCTAAACCCTTTATCTTGAGGATGGAATATGCATACTATGAGATTATATTGGCTCACCAGTTCAACTTACTTCTTTAAAAAACCTGCCTGAATGCTGATTTTCTACTTTGTATGCAATCATGTACATTTTTGCCAATTTCAACCTAAATTGATCTAGATATAATCAACAACTGCTATAGCTGGAGTTATAGCTGGCACAAATATATTTTACAATCTGCAATGCTCCTTAGGCAACCAAACATAAAGTAATGTTATTGCTTTAAATAACTTATCGAACATGTAGAAAAAATTAACAACTTGGGGACTTTTAATACCAGAAGCAGGTTTAAACCACATGATACATTTTTACTCAACCAACAATAAAATCCTTAGAAAAACAAAAGATAAAGATTTTGTTTTATCATTTTAAAGCATTTCATAGTCATTTGATTACATCGATCTGATTCTCTACCTTTTACATACAGATGGCTAAACACAAAATTGATAGGCACATATCAATTTTTCAAAGAAAGCTCAATGGACTAGGTCTAACTGATAATTGTCTGATGCTTATACAATGACCTTGGTTTCAGGCATGCATGTACAAATTTACCTTCCATCTACATTCCACATAATACAAAGGTGGATGACACTGCTAGAAAAAGATGAGCTTGTATATATGTTTGTAATGATGTTAATTGGCAACTCCTGATTACTACTATGATAAAAAGTCTGTTTCACTTTTGAAGCATTATTGGCAGACATTACTAGCCAATTTCTACTTAGTTTAAATGTACATGTACATATCAAGTTTGATGAGAAACATATGAATGCAATATTACTCTTAGTTTATTTCTTCAAAGATTTTATTGAAACCTAATGGGGATTTGTGGTTGCCTTAATGTTAAACATTGAGATTCTTATTTAGAAACAGAGGAGTGATCAATCAATATAACATTTATTTAAATATCAGATATCAGTTAAAAATGTTTGTATATATGAGAGTCTGATTTGAACACCCCATGATGTTACAGGTAGATAATTTCCTAGGTTTAATCATACAGAACCCTGATGTCTTTGTTTGGAGACATCTGAATTGCAAGTTTTTTTCTATTTGTGTGTCAGCATTGAAATATCATTGACTTATTATATGGCATTAGAATCATTATCACTCAAGGACTATGATGGATTCACCTTGACCTCTTCCTCCACTATACTAATTGCCACTAGGATACAATATAAACACTGTTAACTATTTTGAATGGTCTTATCAGAGTTTCAGATCCTCAGAAAAACAATACTAGTATGAATGGCAAGATTTTTTTTTAAATTACTAGTATGAGTTTTTACTAGTATTTTCAAAAAATTACTTGTAATTGAAAGTTAATAACTTTTGTGAAAACTCCAGGGCCTACAGAGCACCCCTTGGTTTAGGCCGTCAAGTTCCTACTGACTCCCTGAACTGACACTACCATTGCTGGCATTGTCCTTTTTAATCAATATTAAGACTTGATTAATAATCCTGTCACAAACATTTAAGTAGAACCCAAAATCAGCAAAATCCTAAATGAGAAACAAATACAACAATGTACAAGTGAATGGACAATCAAATGAAATTACTTAGTTTACACAAAGCTATATCCTGAGAGATAGCTTTGCAAAACTCGATATTCCCAGCCCATGTTAGAGGTCTTTTTCAGAAATGTTAGAAATCATGGGAACACTTACACTACTTCAATCGATGTATAACATCATAAAGTATCGTTGTTATAATCGTAGAACACTAACTGGAGTCGGGAGACAGTGTAATTGACGAAAAATGTATTTGGAACTTGTTATTTTCCATGTCGTCTGACCAGGAAGTCTTGCCAATGCGCCTGCGTGTAACCGGAAGCGGAAATCTCATGGCATAGAAGCGCATGCGCATTATCCAACTTTCTGAGAAGCCATCTTGAAAATTATTATCTCTTCAACATTTTTCAACATTTTTCGTCAATTACACTGTCTTCCGACTCCAGTTAGCGTTCTACGATTATTACAACGGTATTTTATGATGTTATAAAGGGATTGAAGTAGTGTAAGTGTTCCCACGATTTCTAACATTTCTGAAAAAGACCTTTAACATGGGCTGGGAGTACCTAGTTTTGCATAGCCATCTATGTATACAGTGGCTATGTGCAAATATAGTAAAAATGAAACCTGGCATCAATAATGGACAATCAAATGAAACCTGGCATCAATAAAAAATAATAACAACCACCTGTATTAGAAATTCAATGGAAAATACACTATTTGTGGGCAAGAAAATCATATAGGCAGTTCATAAAACAAAGGGCGGCCGATTTGAATAACTCGCCAACACCGACGTACTAGAAACAACTTGTTGATAAAAAAAAAGTTACGGTGTCTCGTCGAAACTAAAAATCCGAGAATTAAAAATCACATTACAGGTTTTCTACTCCTTTATCCTTATCAGAATAGCTCAAAATTCACACAAATTGTAGATACCGTATTTAAATACAATGTGGAAACGTTGACTTACCCATCCATGATCTTGTCGCGCAGTTATTCACGGTTAAGTGGGTGGTTTTTCGATTTGTCTTTCAACAACAAAATGGCGGCAAATGTGAACCACGAGAATCCGCGAAGCATAATTTGACCTTTGGGCTCGTGAATGTTTTAGCGTTTATGAAAAATTGATGATAAAAATACAACCACATACATGCTAGTCAAAGTATTCGCTCAGTGAAATATATGTAATTGTACTCGGATTCTTGTTTGTTGTCTGATATTGTAAATACCATGAAATATAATCAAGTGATGAGTAAGTCACGTGACAAAGGTCAAAAAATGTAAACAAAGTCTACTTCCTGGTTCAAATGAAATACGATGTCCGTAAATTGTCAGGCAGAATTTTCGCGATTCAAAGCATACTTTGAACTCATTTTAAATTTGAAAGGAACCTTCCTGGTTGGCCCATGTACTCCCCCCCCCCAGGAAGTCTCTTTATGTTGAGATATCCTGGGATAGTGTTGAATTGCCTTTCAAGCAACAGTGTCAAGACAGGGACAGAAAAATATTGGCCGCATTTTGAAAGTTACCCTTTTTAGTCTCTTTTACAAGACAAAAGTTGAAAAAGTAACGTAAAGGCTAGAGTACCGACAATTGTCGGTACTCTAGACTCTGATGTGGTGGCACGCTAGAGGACCGACAAATAAATTGTCGGTACGGGAGATATGCTGTGTTTACACGCTAGAGGACCGACAAATATTAATTTTCGAATTTTCTGGCGCATGCGCAATGCGATGGGGGATATTTCAGATATCATACGGATATTTTGGGAACAAGTGCAAAACCCGGGGAGGGCATTAGCCCCGGTTACCCGGGGATTACCAAACCCAGTCAAAAAATGGTAGCCCGGGAACAGGGAATGGTAGTAAACGTTGAAAGGCCCAATAAAAAACATGAACAAGTAAGACGTTAGAGAGCTATTAATGCAGAGTAAACGGCTATATATATTCTAAACAGACAGGATATTTCTCCTGAGCCGATCAGGCGTAGAAAGGGGCGTTTGCTACCCATTAGATAGAAGAAAATAGCTAGAATGTTTTTTATTTGAAGCTTATGGTATGAGGTTCCATATCCATCCGCCAAAAGGTATAACCCCTATATAGTCCATTTAAAAACCTGTGGTATCGTTCTAAATAACCCATAGTTGGCTTCTCTTTCTCTATGCCACTATTTGGTGTCAAAATAAAGAGGAGTTCAACTTTCATTTGAATTACGAAAATAGCGATGTAGGTCAAAATAGTTCCGAACGTGAGCATGTTTACTACGCGTTTGCCCGTCATATCAGAATTGAGGAAGTGGTAGCAAACGCGAGTTACAATAAACGGACGCTGATATCTCAAAAAGTAACCTGACTCCCTATAATTTGATGTAGGTCAATCGAACCCCTATATGGACAGGTGCATTTTGATATATAACACTATGGGGGGTAAGCGTTTCATAGTTGGTCACGAACGCCATATGTGCAAAGTATTGTTATGAATTTTCGAATTTGGTGTTGGATTACGGTACTCATACCTTATAGCACAATTTTTGATGGAAGTTGCATTTGGCTCCCTTAGTTAATGGCCACGATTCCATCTCGCATGAGAGAGCTACCAAACGCAAAGTAAACAGTGATATATTCCAAATGAGATATTTCTCCTGTGCCATGGCGTAGTAAGGGTAGAGAGCGACGGGGGCGAAAGCATCCCCTCCCCTAACTGTATATATCGACCCATTAGATAGAACAAGAAAAGAGCTTTAAAATGTTTTTTAATTGAAGCTTGTAGGACAATTTTGATGGAAGTTATATCAATTTTTGTCGAAATAAATTATGGCTCACTACAAGTTAATGCCTGTACGATTCCATACTGCAAAAGAAGCACTATGCCCTCAAAAGAAAAAAGTAGGTCTTGCCGGGATTCGAACTCGGGACCGGGTGTGTTCGAGTCGTGCTCACTAACCACTAGGCTACCAGTGATGAGGTTATTTCAAAAAGTAAAAGTAGTGCATTTATTTATGAAATTGTCGGCTCTCTATCAAAAACACGTAGCAGCCACTTGCGTACCGACAATTGTCGGTTCTCTATCTGGCACTACTAGTTGACGATAGAGTGCCGACAATTGTCGGTACCCCAGCAAATACCCCTGGACAGTCTCCAGTACCGACAATTGTCGGTCCTGGAGCCACTCCGAAAAAGTAAAGCATATCACAGAAAATATTGACATTTACTGAACTTTAAGTTTTCTCCACGAAAAGTGGATGAAATTTATGTATGCAGTAGTCATTTTCAAAACACGTTACCTTATTAAAACGTAACTTTGTTATTGGACTTTAATTTTTTACTTCTCACGGGACCAAAACGCCGCTAAAATAAGCGACTCTGTACACAAAAGCAATGTTTCGAGTGAAAAGTATTTCTTTGAAGGTTTTAAATGGAACAAGTTTGAAGAAAAACGGTGCACTGTGAGACTCACAATCATTGATTTTCCAAAGAAAGGCCGGGTAGGTTTAAAATTCAAATTAACGCTGAAATTGCGGGGCCTTAAATGGTTTCGATACGCCCCGGTGAGTTAGGACCGCGTGTTTCTACAAGATTCGAAACTGAAGTGTCTCAAAAAACTGTCGTGCGTTTTAGAAGGTTTGAGAAGCTCAATGTTCAGACTAAATATTGAGAAGAATGTTAGACATAGGCGTAGCCGGGGGGGGGGGATGCGATGGGTACGCCCCTGATGCGAGTAGGCTAATCTTACGTCTCCATGACATTCAAAGATCCAAAGGTGCAATACCCCAATAGTCGCTGATTATGTCTATGAGATCAATAGTATCAGCTACCAATGATCACGGGGAGGACAGTCGGTGCAAGCCTGCAAGGAGGTTTGGCTCCCAGGGTTTTATCTAGATATTTCAAAAATCAAAACACACAAATCATGAGTGAAGGTATCAGTTCAAATCTTTTGGATCGCTGATTACGAATTCACGGCCAGTTATAAAGTCAGACAATTACAACATTTTTAATGTTGATCATTTGCAGCCTTTTTGGTAGACTATGGGTTGTTGAGTTGGCGGAGCAGTGTAGAATCTATAGACTTTTTTACAAATTTCCTTTAATCATTTTCTCCCCTGTCGGCTAAGAGTGCCGAATGTTTTTATGAGAATGTGTTTCTCTAAACGACATAATAAATTCGACAATTAAAAATGCCAAGGCTAGTACTTATTCATTGATAAATTCGACATTCAGTTCTTAGATATCAGGGGGTCATTAACAGAACTTTCGCAGAGTTACGAATTCGTAATTCGTAACTTTATGAAATTCGCAATTATTTAAAAAGTTACGAATGACTTACGAATTCATAAAGTTACGAATCGGCCATTAACAGAACACTTTCGTAAGTCATTCATAAGTTTTATCGTTCGTAAACGAATTTCAAATTGTGACGTCATCTTATATCATTATTTAGCACAAATAAAAATATGATGTCATTTGATATCATTGCGCGCTGTGATTAAACTTGTCTCCGCGATTTCAAAGATTCCCAGCTCAGGAACATATTTGCTTATCATGTAAGAATAGGTGAATATTTTAGCTTGAAACTTAGCATGCATATAAAGAACAATTTCTTTTTGCCAACCTGGGGGTCATTAACAGAACTTTCGTAAAGTTACGAATTCGCAAGTCAATTGTTAATTTTACGAATTTGGTAAATGTGCATTAACAGAACTTTCGTAAAGTTACGAACGATTCGCAAAGTTACAAAAAAATGACGTCACGTATGCTTTCGTTCGTAACTTTAATAGCACCTCAGACCCTTTCATAACTTTGCGAATGGCACATTTTTCATCCAATTCTTATGTAAGTTATACAGGTTGGCAAAAAGAAATTGTTCTCTATATGCATGCTGAGTTTCAGGCTAAAATATCTACCTATTCTTACATGATAAGCAAATATGTTCCTGAGCTGGGAATCTTTGAAATCGCGGAGACAGGTTTGATCACAGCGCGCAATGATATCAAATGACATCATATTTTTATTTGTGCTAAATAATGATATAAGATGACGTCACAATTTGAAATTCGTTTACGAACGATAAAACTTATGAATGACTTACGAAAGTGTTCTGTTAATGGCCGATTCGTAACGTTATGAATTCGTAAATCATTCGTAACTTTTTAAATATTTACGAATTTCATAAAGTTACGAATTACGAATTCGTAACTTTGCGAAAGTTCTGTTAATGACCCCCTGATCAATATATTTGCAGAAACAATGATAAAGGTACAAAATGAACTCATTTTATTTGTATACGGATATACAATGTGTCACTAACAAATGCGTTTAAGGACTTTGCTTGGATGTATTTTAGTATAAAACACATACATATACGTTTTAACGAAACAAATTAGATCAACGAACAGAAAAGGTAAACGATGAATGAAAATACTCAAGTTACGAACATAAATGTGCATTTAACAAGTACAGAAGTTCAATTTACGAATACATATATATAATTCTTATAAAATGACAGCTGTCCATCTAGTTTTCTGTAATGTGGGGTTAAGCACAGAACTATTTTGATTTTTTTCAGGAAAAACACGAATATTTATATTTCTTTTTATTTACCATTTCATTGACAAGATATGCAATTTTCTTGTGTAGATTTAGTTTGACATTATATGTGTATGAACTAACAATATAGCCTCCAATCTGCAAATTTTAGCTTAAAAGTGATCGATAAAAGAAAAATGACAAACTTTTAGAAATACTGGACGAAATAAAAAATGTAAGCTTACTGGACGCACACCTGTTAATACCGGAAAGCTTGCGTCCAGTACATTTTCATTTCGTCCGGTATTTCTTTAAAGGTTCATGTGCAGTATGGCAAGTGATTTTAGATAGTCATATATCTTTAACCATGAGTACTTTCTGGGCATAAATACAGTGGTATAATATGTTTTCTTTCAGGTGAAGTACCCAAAATAATAGAAATATCAATCGAACAATTCGAAATATTATTAATAGGGGCTCCATGTCAACATTTTTGCTCAAAAGAGGATCTTCTTTTTCTGGTTTTTATTGCATGAAAATATTATTCAAGAAGGGGTCTAAAACTTCTTCAAAAGTAGAATGGTATTGAAAGTCTAGTTTTGAAGATATCCTTTTTCGCTGACCAAAACTATGCTGAAAACAATGGATACCACGATATGTAGTTTTTAACTTTAACGCATT